TCTATATTAAAAGTTTGATTTTATTATTATAGCAATTGAAGAGTCTATATATTTGGAACAAATATCTTTAGAACAAGTAACGGATTCTCTTCAAATTCATGAATAAAAGCTTACAAAAAGAAGAAAAAAATCTATAAAGCAGGCACTACAAACTAAACTTATTCTTGAAAATAAATATGAATCAAAATTTCAAAGAGGAATAGAACATGGATAAAGAGGAAGAGGTGATAGAAATCAGACCAATCAAGAATATCAAAATAATGAAAGTGATGGAGAAACTTTAAGTTAAAAAGGCTGAGGTTATGGTCAAGGACGTAGTTGAAACCATGGATGTGATAGAATTTCTAAAAGATCTGAAATACAATACTATGTTTGTAAAAGGTATAGATACTACTTCTTTAAATATTATTATAATCCTAATAATCAAGATGATAATACAAATTTTATTGAGTAAGAAAAGAACAAAAATTAAGTTTTGATAATGAGTTATAATAATTTGAAAGAATATTAGTCTATGATATTGTATCTAGATATAAGAGCTACAAATCACATGTATAGTATCAAAGAGTTATTTTCATAAATCACATATTATTTCAAGAATATTACATTTGGTGATATATCTCAAAGAGCAATAAGAGGTAAAAAGTATATTTTTTTTAATCTAATAATGAGAAAGAATTATGTATTTTAGATATTTATTATGTTCCTGATATGATAAATTATATTATGAGCTTAGGACAATTACTTGAAAAATATTATAATATTAAGATGAAATATATTGCTCTTTTAATTCATAATAAGAATATAAATTTAATATCACATGTGATAATAGTAAAGAACATAATATTTCCTTTACATTTATATATTTTTTGATCGATCAAATTATTTTAAAATTGATATTAAAGATATTTCTATATTATGATATCTTAGATATGCTCATTTAAATTTTGAGGCTTTAAAATTTCTAGAGAAATATAATATAGTGATAGGAATGTCAAGAATTAATTACCCATCAAAATTATGTGAAGTATGTGTCATGGGCAAGCAAGAAAAAAGTCTTTCAAAGTCAAAAGAATAAAAAGAACATGATGTTGACTTGATCTAGCGTACTCATATGTTTGTGGACCTATCAGTCTAATATCACTTGAAGGAAGCAAGTATTTTCTTAATTTTATCGATAATTATAGTGGCAAAACTTGGGTTTACATGTTAAAGAAAAAAAAAAGTTTTAAGCAAATTCAAAGAATTTAAGGATTTAGTTGAAAGATAAAGTAGTTATAAGATTAAATGTTTAAGAACAGATAGGGGTGATGAATTTATATCAAATGAATTTAAATATTTTTATAGAAATAATAAAATTTTATGTCAATTCACTATGTCATACACACCTTAATAAAATGGTGTCCTAGAAAAAAAAGTAGGACTAATTAATATGGTCTAATGCATGTTAAAGGAAAGAAGAATTACTAAAGAATTTTGGTAAGATACTATTGCTTGTATAGTTTATTTGCTTAACAGGTTTCTAATAAGACGAGTTGGTAATGTTACACCAAAAGGAGTATGGAGATTACGGAAATCAAGAGTCAATCATTTGAGAATTTTCGAAAGTGTTGCATTTGCTAAGATACTAGAAGAAAAAAAAATAAAACTTGAGGATAAAAGCTAGAGATATATCTTGTTAGGTTATGTTGAGAATTTTAGTAGCTACAAACTCTATAATCCTATCACAAATAAAGTTATGATGTCAAGAGATGTTAAATTTAATGAATAACAAATTTGGAACTGAAAAAGTGATGAGTGTTAGGATGCACTAAGAGGGGGGGGGAGTGAATTAGTGCAGCGATAAAAATTACGTTGATTTGAAAAATTTTGTTCAATAAAATCATTTCGACAAAGTCCATATTGGAAAGTAATGACTTAGAGTAAATGTAAAGTGTAGAGTGTAGCTAAGTAATGAAAGAAAGTAGTAAGGAAAGAATACACCGAATTTATAATGGTTCGGTCATTGTGACCTATGTCCACTTCTGATTCCTCCTCCGTCGAGGTCACCGATATCTACTAATGGTCTTCCTTCAATAGGTGAAGACCAACCACCTTTTTACAAAGTTTTTCTCTTTTTCACGGGTTTAGAAGATAACCCTTATAAGTCTCACACCTCTTCTCTAATGATTTTAAAGCTGAAGAATGAGGAGGAGGACCCTTAGTACAACAGTTTTACACCCCAACACTTAAAGATTTTTTTACACTTTTTTGTTCTTTTTTATTTTCTTTTCATGTAAAAAGGAGTGGGGTATTTATAGGCCCCAATGACTTCAAAATTGGAGCCAAAAAGTGTCTCATCTCAAATTTTTGAGGTTCTGGTGGTACCACCATCAGTACTGGGCAATACCATCGCATGACATTCTGACACTAGGTGGTACCATCGCCAACCCTAGGCAGTGCCACCGCTTGGCAAGGCTCTAAATGGCCGAGTGGGCCTTCCATCCGGCCTAACTCTACCCTAAATCGGGCCCAATTAGCTCCTAACTGAGTTAGTGAGATTACCTCCCAATCCTAACTCAATCTAAGTTCTAATTATGATAATTAAGGTATTAACTAAATAATTTTTATCTAGTATGTCAATTGTTCTTCCGGTAAAGTCTCGATGAACTTTCGGCACGCTTTTGACGAACTCCCGATGAACTCTCGGTGAGCTCCCGATGAACTCTTGGCAAACTCCTGACGAACTCTCGAGGAGCTCCCGATGAACTCTTGGCGAACTTCCAGCACATCGTCCAAATCGTCGTCATATCGTCCAATCTTCGACTCTAACCCAATATCTACTTTATGCTTTATTTATTATCGAAGTCAATCTTGTAATACTTATCTCAACATATGGATTAAATCAATAATTTATCAATTAATTTCATCATTAAAATCTGAGATATAACAAGGATAAGAATAAGAAAGCTATAACTTCAAAAGAATAAGACAAGTAAGCACCGAAGAGGCTTTGCTGAAATCATCATCTAGATCAACTAGATCATATGATTCAAGAAGTCCTAAGAAAAATAAGATTGATTCAAGAGATATATGATGTGACTCAAAAGATTGATACTAATAATGATGAACTTTCTTTACTCTATCTTTTTGCAAGATATGATCCATTAACTTTTGAAAAAGCTAGTAGAGAAAAAAAAAATGCAATAAGCTATGAATGAGGAGATTCATGCTATTAATAAAAAAGATACATGAGAGCTTACAACACTTTCAAAAACCACCAAGCAATCAATGTTAAATGGATCTTCAAAACAAAAAGAAATGTAAAAGGTAAGGTGGAGAAATATAAGGTCTCATTGGTTGCAAAAGGATACAAACAACAATATGGGATTGACTATGAAGAAATATTTACACTAGTTGCTCGATTGGAGATAGTAAGATTACTTATCTCCCTAGCAGCTCAAATGAAATAGAAAATTTTACAAATTGATGTCAAATCAGTATTTCTTAATAAATTTTTTTATAAAGAGGTATATATTAAAAAAAGCACTTTATGGGCTTAAACAAGCCCCACAAGCATGGAATTCTCTGATAGATGCTTATTTTATTCAAAATGAGTTTTCCAAGTGTCCACATAAATATGCTCTCTATACGAAATTTAACTCGATGGAAATATCTTCTTTATATGTTTGTATGTAGATTTAATTTTTAAAGGCAATAGTAGCTCTATGATTAAAGCCTTTAAGCACTCTATGAAAAAAAAGTTTAAGATGGCCGACTTGGGCCTATTAACTTATTTTCTCGATATCAAAGTTATACAAGACAATAAAGAAACTTTTATCTCATAAGAAAATTATGCAAATGAAGTTCTAAAGAATTTTTCTATAGAATATTATCATCCTACAAATACACCTATAAAATATGATACCAAGTTAACCAAAGAATGTGAAGGAAAATATATTAATCTAACTTATTATAAAAGTCTAGTTTGATATTTAAGGTATTTGACGTGAACTCGACCTGATATACTATTTGGAGTTAATTTAATAAGTAGATATATGGAAGCTCCTAAGATATCTCATTTAAATGACACGAAAAGAATTTTACGATATATTAAAGGAACAATCGAATATGAAATATTTTATTCATTATCCAAAAGGTTGGAGCTCATTGGATATACTGATAATGATTAAGCCGAAAGCTATGATGATTGGAAGAGTACAATTGGATTTGTATTTTATTTTGGTGAAACTATATTCATATAGTCTTAAAAAAAAATAACATATTATTACTCTATCAAGTTATGAAGCAGAATATATAGCAGCATCTTCTTATGTTTGTCATGCAATATAGCTAAGAAGATTACTTCATAAACTTCATATGTTATAGGAGAAGTCAATCAAGATTTATATTAATAACAAATCAGCTATTTCTTTAGCCAAAAAACTAATCTACTATAAAAAATCGAAGTATATCAACACAAGATTTTATTTTATAAGAGATCATGTCAAAAACAAAAAAGTGGAGCTATATCATATCAAGACAAGTGAACAAATAGCCAAAATACTTACAAAAACTTTTAAATTTAGAATATTTCAATAACTTTGAAAGAAACTTAGCATATTAGATGGAACAAGTTTAAGGAGGAAGAATGTTAAAATTAAACTTAAACTTATTAAAGTATCATAAAGAGATTACGTTAATTGTAAGAGTGGTTCATTGCATCAAGAGAGAGGTTAGATTAATTGTATTAAGAGAGAGATTTATTGCATTAAGAGAGAGGTTCATTGCATCAAGAAAGAGGTTCATGAGAAAAAATAGATTAAATACCTATGAAAGGATAAACCAAATTGACTATTGATTTTGAAAGAATTTTTTAAAAAAGAGTGATTTATTTTAAGGACAATTAATATAATATATCTTTGGGATTATATAAACATGAGGTCATGAAATATATAGAGTTTTAAAGTTATAAAAAAATTGAGTAAAAGATAGAATATCTTACATTATCAGACTCTTCCTTTTACGTGATAATCATACTCGTTCTTCTTATCAAATTCAATATATGGTACGTCGATGCTAAATACTGAAGCGTACAAAACAACAGCCTAAACCAAAAGTAGCATCAATTTTTGGATAACAGAAGCAACCTACCACGTTAATTTTTATTCCCCATACGACTTCAACATTTATTGCGATAGTACCCGACGTAGAGCGGATACCTCCACAAGACTTAGGAGGTATCAGAGAAGGAATCATGAATGATCACTCGAACTGCGATAGGAATTCTTACTGCGTGCTTCCCATCATCAATCCATGTCAAGCTTCCGAAGTTGAAGTCCCCTTGCACCATCTGAAGCGGCGTGAACGTCACCGCAAAGGTGTGCGTCGTCGTGGAAGCATTGAATTGAAGAAGAGAAGGCTCGACCACCATGTTGACACCCGGAGGAGACTCCCCCATTGCCCTGTAAATGGAATCCGTGTCCCCCACATTGGTCACGGTTCTCCGCACCGTTAGTGGTGTCTTCTTCAGGTCGGGAATGGAGATGGAGGGCAGATTCAGGTGATACAGCCGACTGTCCACCAAGTCACAAGTGGTCGACGGACCGTAAGTGCAGTTGAAGAACTTTAAGTAGTCTTCGGGATCGACGTCATAAATAAGCCCGGGATCAACGGCTTTGTTAGGATCGATGTGACCGCCGCCAAAGTCGAAAGGATCAGCGTGCTTTCGAGGAACTCCCTCTGCTTCTATGGGGAAGCCGTATGCATTGGCCGTATGAGCTTAAAACAGAGGTTGTCATGCTCCTTTAACATCAGGAAAGCAGACAGAGAAGAACTACGGAACGATGCAGAAGCAGGATGGTAAATCCACGTACCAGTTGTGACGAGTGCTGATTTGATGGCAGCAGGAGACCACTGGGGATGTGCTGCTTTAAGAAGAGCTGCTACGCCAGAGACATGGGGACAAGACATCGATGTTCCAGACTCAAACTTATAGGAATCTTTCACTGCGGCCAGGATAAGGACTCCGGGAGCTGTGATATCGGGCTGTCCAAAGGCAGTGATGGTGAGCACACCAGTTCATCGAAAAGAACCAAACATGTGAGCTTCTAGTAGATAATAGAAATTGCACCGACCTTGACTAGATCTGGGAACAATATACTCGGCCCTCTCGACGAGAAAGCTGCGACCCTGGGAGACATTACTCCACTCCCGACCATATCCTGCGTTAGGCTCACCTTCACCAGGGGGGATCTGCCAATTTCCTTTCGTGGTTACTATTCCCGAAAAGAAAATTCTGATCTGTTTAGGAAAACTGAACTCGAGTTGAGCAGACCTTGTATTCGTTACATAATCTGTTATTTGTTTGCCGATCTCGTAATCAACAAAGACGCATACGGTGCCGTTGCAAATAACGTCGATGAAGTCGAGGATGTTGGCGGAGTACTGTGCAAAGATAATGCCCTTCCCTCCAGCTTCCTGAACATTATAGGCAGCCCGTGGAAAGTGTCGCTTGGGTGGTGAGCTTGAGGCGATGGCAAGCTGGTAACAGAGCACAATCTTTCCGACTACATCACTCGAATTCAGATCGTCCCGCGAGCAGCTGCAACAATAGATCAAATGCAAATTACTAGGTACGATTTTCTTTAAGAACATTCAATCGAATTATAGTTACCTCCCACCATCTGCTAGCTCTTCGAATCCTCCATCGGTGGATTCATAGAGGATGGATTGTCCCTGCCGCGGCAACCATGAACAATTAATTCAATATAAATAGATGCAAACTTTCAAATGTATTAGCGTGTCTGTGAAAACCACACGTTCGCACCACCACGGTTCGGTTGTCTCCGAGGGTTAGGAGGGTAGGAAACGAGCGATCAATGGTGCTGGCTGCCACCGTGATCGCCCACGGCAGGTCATTAGCAATGGTCTGGGTGACGGGACCATCATTGCCTCCAGAGAAGATCACAGTTATCCCCTTTGCTACCGCATGTATGGAAGGAAAGATTGGGTGAAGTAAGCGCCCAAGTGAGAGTGATAAGATGTCCACACCATCATGGATAGCATCATCTATCGCCTTCAGCACAGCAGCGTCGCGACACCCTGCTTCTGCCCAGCATACCTTGTAGATTGCTAGCCGGGCACGAGGAGCTCCTCCTCTCGCTGTGCCGGCGCCCAGACCATGGAAACTCGCATCACTCACTAACGAGCCTGCTGCCGTGGAAGCCGTGTGCGTTCCGTGGCCCTCGGAATCCCGGGGAGACTGGTAGTCTCCTTCGATGAGAGAAGGGTCGACGCCTCCGGCGTACCATCTTGCACCGATGATCTTGCGGTTGCAGTGGTTGACGGTGAAGTTTTGACCTACTTCACACGTTCCTTTCCAACGGGATGGGACGGGGCCGTAACCATGGTCGTCGAAGCTTCTCGATTCCGGCCAAATGCCTATATAAGAAAATTTTGTAGGACCGGGCAACCTCAATGACGATAAGGTAATGATTGCTTGCCTGTGTCGACGACGCCGATGATGATCCCATCGCCGAAGTTGCCTCTTGCAAGTAGTCCTGTGGGTTGGGGTTGTTCAAAACCAAGATCAAGGTAGTCCCAGCTTCGCGTAGTAAGCAGTGGAACGCTGCGGCTTGGATTGACACTGATCACTTCCGGCATTTCTAACCGGAAAAGAAAAGGGCGATATGATCAAGTTGCTTACTCATCTTAGTTAAGGATTATGTATACGTATAAATATGATATAATATACTAAACACGTGATGGATTCTCTCTCTCTCTCTCTCTCTCTCTCTCTCTCATCTCGATACACCAACCTTATCTTAAGCAGCCTGTCGATTCAACAGGTTGATAATGACCCGACGTTTAGCTAAAAAGAAGCGTTCAAAGGCCCACCTTAATCCTACTTTCTTATCATGATTCTAAGGTGATCACAAACTATAAAATTATTACCCAACATGGAATCAAGGGCTTAATTTAGATTAATACCATGAAGTCACATGAAAGGTCGAGATAAAGTCTTCCAATTTTTTGTTTTAGTGGCCTCGACACAAGAGCCGACTCTCAGGAGTATATCAATCTTTTGATCTCCCGTAATTAAGCACAAAACTATTGTGATTGAGATTTTATTTTCACATACTGATTTATCTGGATCAATATCGTCCCTTCAAATTTCAGATATATGCTTGCATGCATCTTTTGGATTGTTCTCATCAGTTGTGCTGTTAATCATATTAGAACTTGCTTCCATTGTCACTGGTAAAATAGGCCTGAAATTGAAGAAGGAAGAACCTGCAATTTTGTCTGCTTGAGATTCTGTAAGCATGGCTGCAAAGCCCGAGAAGCCATGCTTATAGCTGTAGACAATTGAACTCACGGCTTCCTCCTTGCTGAATCACCAATTAGAATAACCTGTAATCGAGCATATATGACAGAAAGATGAAACGAACACAAACTATATATGGTGCAAAAAATGCATACCTCCCCAGTACGGAAGACAGCATATGATGGTGCGACGCAATCACGAGGTCTGGATCTTCGTGTTGCCTCTCTCCCATGTACACTATGTACAGAAGCTACACAGAAGAGACCGTTGAGATGTTAGTCCGTGGACATCAAATGTTAAGATGATAGAGAGACGCTCATGGACCTTGGTCGATGATGGTGTATGTCCAAGTGCTGCCATTTGGATGAAGCTTGAAAGGATGAGAAGTAGAAGCATAGAGAATAGAAGATGCTGGTAACCCATCTTGCATGTGGCTGTGGAGGAGAAGCGTTGCTGCAATGGCGCTACTTATAAGCCTATGAGGCCACATGACCGATGGTGGTGATGGTCAATGATAGCTTGTTTGTGATGAATTAAGCCAAGGATAACTTTGTTGACATGAAAGACTAATGAAAATAAAAGGATATTATTTTATTATATGATAAGGGAAATATATCATATTAGTCGTGCAACACACATCACCGGTATCTTTCATATCCGAATTTATCCTAATTTGGAATGAAAAATAATCTACTATGCCATAGGTGCAAAAAGGACAATGAATCAAATGGCTCTAAATGAGATGTCACTCACTTGTCAGTTTAGTTGGGTAAAATTTTAATAGATCATTATAAGATCCTAACTTTGAATCGTGCTTATATAACCTTTTTTAATTAAATAATAATAATTAATGTTAAGAGTAATTCATCTATCAGAAACTTATGTCAGCCAAGGATTGTTAGAGGATCTCTAATATTTTTTTATATCATGTAGGAAAATATACGTTCAAAGACTCGGTTCAAACAAAAAACTTCTTATGTTTTGACGCCATCTAATTTTGGAATATATATATATTCACGTATAAGAAATATATACCTCCGTATATTAATTTGCAATTTGAAGACTCAAACAGGGGCATTCAGATCCATGGCTTATTGTTCTCATTGGTTACAACGGACGTGGCTTCGATTCTCATTTGATGGAGTAGCCACCAATTGATGCCATGACAAGAAGATGATAAAAAAAGCATCCACTGTTACCGTGATATTTCTTTCCATCCATGTCGACGTCCAACTTTCTAATGTCGGCCATTCACTCACCCATAAAGTAATATACTTTACATAAAACGTTAAGACACCAAAGATTCAAGAGAGTCCAAACCCAAAACTTGAAGTCTTCACGTCAAATGCTATTGCGTGGATTTTTATTTGCAGCAGTTCCTTATACAATTATTGTTTCTTATTATCCTTATCCGAAAAAAAAAAAAATCAAGATTGTTCCTACATCCTACGTGATGTCCTGGGTCATTCTTTTTTAGTATTTGATGGACGATAAAATGTTGAATCATTGTTATGCCAATACCTTTTCTTGACATCTAAAGTCACCTTATCCAACTTTATCAAATCAATCATGTCGATATAATTGAGAGATCAATTTGATATAATAAAATAATCAATACCTAAAAAAAGATGACTCTGACACCTTATAATCAAGTGATTTATACTTTAGAACTAAATGACGGATATCTCAAGGATGACACATTGATGCCACTTATAGTCATGTGACAGACATCTGGAAGTACCCACATATCGATGTCAGAAGGATGACACATCGATGCCACTTCCATCAAGTATGAAAGATGTAGTCATGATCTCTAAATGTTAATGACTCTATCGTGTCTAGTATATATTTTTTGGATTTGATGCAAAACAATTTCACCTAGATTAAAGAATATACATATCCAACATCAATTTATGTTCGCGAGTATAATGATCCAAAATTTACGTTATAAAAAGCTCTATCATATGGATTCCTAAAAAAAGAGTAACATTCTTTTAGTACTTTTGACTTATCACTCTTAGCGTATTATAAATGCATCAATCCTCAAACTAACTTAAGTATTAGAGGAGTTTTATCAAATACACCCCCAATATATTTATAGGATTAGATGTATTTTGGATTCAATCATCCTAACATAATCAAAAGACAAATATGGAAGAGGAAGAAGATTAGCTCGGACTCCAGCTCCAATTTACATAACCAAATTTTCACTTAAGACAATCAAAATAGAGAGATGTATTGTATGGATTCCTCCCATTAACATCAAATTTATCCATAATAGGATAGACATTATCACTTGGTTTTCAAATGATTCCAGATACACCCAAATGTTTTCCTAAATGCTACGTATATGTACTTACTATTATGTGAAAAGGTTTATTTCATGTATCCAACATAACATTATTTCCTGTCTTGAATGCGTAACCAGTGGCAAACAATGGGATTAAATCTTAGGAGGTGTCGGAGAAGAAATCACGAATGATGACCCGAACTGCGAGAGGAATTCGTACCGAATTCTTCCCACGTCGATGAACCCAAGTCAAGCTTCCGAACGTGAAGCCTCCCTACACCTTGTGAAGCGGCGTGAACGTCACCTCAAAGTGAAGCTTCTCGCCGGAAGCCCTGAAGTGTATAACAGATGGCTGCACTTCCATCTTAACACCGGCTGGAGACTGCACTACGGCCATGCGTGTCGCCCACATTAGTGACGGTTCTTCGCACTTTCACAGGCGTTTCTTTCAGGTCGGGAATGGAGATGGAGGGAAGATTCAGATCATATGTACGGCTGCTACCCACTCCAGATTTCCTGAGGTCAGGAATGGCGCCTGAGGGCAGCTTCAAGTGATTTTGGCCACTAGTACTGTTCGATGCACGGTTTGTGTAGCGAAAGAAGTTGACGTAATCATTTGGATCGATATCATAAATAAGTCCAGGATCCATTGCTCGGTTAGGATCGATATGCCCTCCGCCATAGTCGAAGGGATCGGCCAGCTTCCGTGGAATCGCTTCTGCGTTCGTTGGTTGTATATGCTTGAGACGGAGGCATACATACATATGTCAGAGTTGGCAAATGAGCGGATAAAAGATACACCTACTCACCGGTGGTGACAAGTGCTGATTTGATGGCAGCCGGAGACCAATCGGGATGCACTACTTTGAGAACAGCTGCAATTCCAGATACATAGGACTAGCCAATGAAGTTCCCGACATAAATTGATACCCATCTCTCACTGCCGCCAAGATATTGACTCCCGGAGCTGTGATGTCAGGCTGAGGAGAAGGTAAAGGATGAGCTCAGTGCTCTGTTTTTCCATTTTCCAGTGGAGCTACGATCGACCCTCAGCAGCGTCTTGTGCTTATCAGAGGATTTATGGTTGGTTTTATCATTGCTTTCAAGCAGATGATGATTTAGCTTCTCAAAGTTTGAGATATGGGAGGGGTCCGTTTTGCAATCTATCATAGGAGACTTCATAATTATCATGAACAGAGACACAACTATAGCTGCATGCATACCTTCCCTATGTCCGGATAGTCTGCACTCGGCCCTCTTGCGGAGAAAGCTGCCACCGTCCGCAATGGGTTCCTGACAACTATTGCTGCATACTTAGGCTCCCGATGAATAATTTTTACCGAATAATTGTTTTAACGATATAATTTTTACATGAAAAATCTAATGTGACAGACCATAGTTCATTTTAATTTTTTACTATCATCAATATTATTAATAGGTTTATAATAAATCTTTTTTAGAATAATCATAAAATCATAATAATATCAAGAATACATATCTTAACTTAATCATAACACATCTTAGATTGTAAAATCAAGAGGGGATAAACTGTAGATCGGTATCATTAAGATTGTAGAATTTATTATAAAGATTCTTCATATAAAATTTAAGCTAAAATCAATAAAATTTAACTATTCGATCATCTAGTAAAATCTCCAAAACCTTTTTTTTTCTTTTCTCTATGTTCCTTTTATCAGGTATGCTTGTTCGCTACCCTCGCTATGCACATCTCCATAGTTTTTATTTTTTTTTAATAAATCAAATTTGGGCTCAATGTCCAAATCATCTAGTCTACGCCTACATATGGATTAGACCCAATTATTCTTCCCCTCCAACTCATATGGTGAGTTGTACTAAGTCCGCTCTTCACCTACATACTCCAAACTTCTTCTTAAGCAAAGACTTTGTTAACATATATGATCTATTCTCATTAGTATACACATTTTCCAAGTACAATTCTTTCACATCACGAATCCAGTAATATCTAACATCAATATGCTTAGATCTTGAATGATATGCTAAATTCTTGGAGAGGTGAATGACACTCTTATTGTCATAGTAAACAGTATATTTTTCTTGTTTCAAGCCCAATTCTTGTAGAAATTTTTTCATCCATAAAGCTTCCTTGCATGCTTCAGTAATTATTATATATTCTACTTCTATGGTTGATAAAGCAACACAATTCTATAACTTAAACTGTTAAGAGACTGCTCCCCTTGTAAACGTCATCAAAAATCTCGAAGTGGACTTCTTGGAATCAGTATCACTTAACATGTATATATTTATGTAACCTTCTAGCACAGGTTCACTATTGCCAAAATATAAATACAACTTGAAAATACCTCTTAGATATCTTAATATCCATTTCACTGCTGCCTAATATTTCTTACCAGGATTAGAGAGAAATCGACTGACAACTTTAATTGAATGAGCTATATCTGACATAGTATAAACCATAACATACATCAAAGTGTCTTCTATAGATAAGTAAGATACTCTAGATATTTTTTTATTTTTTTTTCTCGCTTATAGGATATTGTTTCGAACTAAGCTTGAAATAACCTACAAGTGGAGAATAAACTGCTTTGGTTTTACTCATGTTGAATATTTTAAGAATCTTATCAATGTATGTCTCTTGAGATAGTCAAATCTTCCCTTTCTTCCTATCATGAAGAATCTTCATGTCAAGTATTTATTTCATAGCAAAAGACTTAACTTTCTTTTAAGCTTCTTAATTTTATCAACATCATGACCAACAATCAACATCATCAATATATAGCAGGAGAACAATAAAATCATCATATGAAAACTTCTTTGTAAATACACAATGATCAGATGTTGTTCTATTGTACTCTTGACTCATCATAAAGGAATCAAACTTCTTGTAACACTGTCTGAATACTTGTTTGAGTCTATATAAGTTTTTTATAACCTTGTATACTAGATTTTCTTTTCTCTTAACTTTGAAACCTTCTGATTACTCTATGTAAATTTTTTTCTTCTAAGTCAATATGAAAAAATGCTATTTTCACATCAAGTTGCTAAACTTCTAAATTCAAGCGAGCAACCAAACCAAGAACAACTCAGATAGAAGACATTTTCATCACATGAGAAAATATCTTTTCAAAGTCAATATATTTCTTTTGACTGAATCCTTTCATAA